GTGGCCCCACATCCCTCCCAGTGGTCCTGTATCGTTTTCCATGGTGCATCCCTGCATCCTCCTGCCTCACAGCCCCTTCCCATCACACGTCACATCCCCAAGTTCTTCTCCAGGCAACATCCCCCATGACCCTGCACCCCTCCTGGTGCAGGAGTCTCCAGGTGGTCCTGGAGACTTTCCATGATGCTTCCTTCTGACTCATATTCCTTTCCCACCACAAGCCACATCCCCTGCACCCCCAAAGCCTTCTCCATGCAACATCCCCCACAGTCCTGTACCCCTCCTGGTGCTCCTGCATCCCCTTCCATGTCACAGCCCCCATGGTCCCCCATCCCTCCTGCTGGTCCTGCACCCCTTTCCATGAGATATCCCCAGGTTACAGCCCCCTTCCTACAATAACCCACATCCCCTGCACCCCCAAAATTCTTCCCTGTGCAACATCCCACATCCCCCCAGGGGGTCCTGCATCCCTTTCCAAGAGGCATCCCTGCATTATATCCCCTTCTCATCACAAGCCACATCCCCTGCACTCCCAAATTCTTCTCCATGTAACATCCCCCATGACCCTGCACCCCTCCTAGTGGTCCTGGAGACTTTCCATGATGCTTCCCTCTGACTCATATTCCCTCCCCATCACGTGCCACCTCCCCTGCACTCCCAAATTTTCTTTGCCACATCCCCCGTGGTCCCACATCCCTCCCAGTCGTCCCGCATCCCTTTCCATGATACATCCCTGCATTATATCTCTTTCCCATCACGTGCCACATGGCACATGCTCCCAAATGGAACGTCCCACAAGACCCTCCATCCCTCTCCGTGATCCCGCATCCCTTTCCAAGCCACATCCCTCTGCCTCACAGCCCTCCCTGATGGATCCCTGCCTCCCCCCACATTCCAGAGCCCCCCGGACCTCCTCCTCGCGCCTCCACTCAGCCTCCCTCTGCTCCAGCTCATCCCTGCTCCGTGCCCAGTCCGCCGTGAGCTTCCGGATGTCCTCGCTCAGCGCCGCGTTGGCCGCGTTGGCCTGTTCCAGCTGCTCCCGCAGCATCGAGTTCACCTGCACCAGGCTGCTGCTCCTGGGGTGGGGACACAGGGACCCGTGGGGCATCCCACCAGGAATGCCCACACCTGCCCAGGGACCCCCACTCTGCTGCTCCTGGGATGGGGAGGGAGGGGATGGATGGATGGATGGAATGTCCCCCAGGAACTCCCACATCTTCCCCAGGGATCCTGCTCACCTCTGCTCCTCCTGGGATGGGTGAAATGGTCAGAGCATCCCCCTGGAAATCTTCCCAACTCCCAAGGATCCCCACTCACCTCTGCTGCTCTTGGGATGGAAAGGATCCCCCTCCTGGGAATCTCCAAACCTCCTCAAGGATCCCACTCACCTCTGCTGCTCCTGGGATGGGTGGAATGACCGGAGCATCCCTCTGGGAATCCCCAAACCTCCCCAAGGATCCCACTCACCTCTATGCTCCTGGGATGGAGGGAATGGAGGGGATCCCCTTCCTGGGAATCCCCACACCTTCCTGAGGATCCCACTCACCTCTGCCTCCTGGGATGGAGAGAATGGAGGGGATCCTCCTCCTGGGAATCCCCACACCTTCCTGAGGATCCCACTCACCTTTGCTGCTCCTGGGATGGGGGGTCACCGTGTCTGGAGCATCCCACCCCTCCAGGGATCCCGCTCACCTCTGCTGCTCCTCTTCCAGCCGGATCAGGGCATTCTCCAGCTCGTTGCTGCTCTCCTCCTCTGGCTGGGAGCCGCTGGTATCCAGCTGGATCTGTGGGAACATCCCGCTCGCCACCACCTCCATCTGGGGGGGGGGTTGGGGGCAGGACATCCCCCCGGCCCCTCCCTCACCGTCAGCCTCTCCTGCTCCAGCTCCGTCGCCTTCTCCAGCAGCTGCTGCTCCACTTCCCCACATTTCTTCTTGTACTGCAGCACCTGCGGGGGGACGGGGGCGTGACACCGGGGGGTGACACCCGGGGGGGCTCCCAGACCGTCCCTGCTCCCCCCGGGAAGGATTTACCTTGGCCTGGAGCTTCTGCACGAGCTGGGCCTGTCTCTGCTGCCCCTCCTGGTAGGCCTGGAGCTTCCGCTTGTAGGCGGCTTGTTCCTCCTCCAGGAGCCTCCGGAGCTCGATGTTGTGCTGGGCCAGGCTCCGGCTCTCGGCCGCTTCCCGCTCTCCCGCCTCCGTGCGCAGGGATTGCTCCAGCTGGGAGAGGGGCGGGATACGGGCTGGCACCCCCCGGCACCCCCCGAGCACCCCCGGGCA